AGGAGCATTTTTTCTGTATCCAGAAACCTGTTTGTTAAAGCCACCATACAGAAGGAAGTGAGGGCTTGTATATGTTCAGTCTGTGTATAATATACATTATGCTGAAAAGCACCATATACGTATGTGTCTGAATAATCAACTGTAAGTGAAGATGGTCGACATGAAGTGAAGCCAATGCAAAACAACAGCATTCATATCTGTTGGACCTGTCGTCCATCTTTGTGATCTGGAGTTGTGAAACTGAACTATGTTTGTGTTATATTGTGGGACATGATTGTTACTGGCAAACTTTGTCGGTTTATATGTGTTCACATAGCAACATGAGTCATGGATAACAGGGAGAATGAAGATCTTGATCTGGCAATAAAACTTATACAACTTCACTGAAGCTGCATTGGTACTGGATATGTGGAAGCAGTCGAAGAGGAACATTAGAGGACACAGAGCGGACACAAAAGAGAAAGGGGTCCAGTTTCTCTTTTTGCAGAACTGACTCAGCAGCAGAGGGAAGTGAGCTGGGTTTAACTTCCCATCCGCAGCAGAGCGTATCACACATCTTCTGCTCCAACATAATAATCTCTGTTGGTTGTGACCTTTGACCTGGAGGTATTTAAAGAGGCGGCCCCTCCTCTCCCTCATGTTAAAGTCTGCCTGTGTTTATGGCAGTTGAACTGACCTCAGATCCGCCTCTGGCTGTCAATGTGCTGCAGGTTAGTATCTTTACAGCCCGCCGTGGGTGTGTCTGTGGGCGGGGCTGCACAGGCCTATAGAGCCCTCTGATTGGTCTCTAGTGTACAAGCAAGGCGGTGCTATGTCAGTAATTGGCCGTTGTGGCTGTCAGTTAAATGCGCTTATGCTGCTTTCAGGGACCGCTCGTATCATTTTTTTTTAATCATAGAAAGAGTTTATCCAAGTGTTAAAAACAGGTCAACTGGACTTAGTTGAGTTTCATGAAGACGTTTCACCTTCAGGCTTCTTCAGTTCTAACTGACTGCTGGGAGTCCCAGGTATTTAACTTCTGGGGTTTTAGGAGTGGTTGAGGTTACCTGAGAGGCTGGAGCCACCCTGCTGTTTGTTTGTTTGGGAGTCGTTTGTGGGCCATAGTCACACTTGCCCTCAGGTGTGAATTGTAGTGAAACTTCCTGGAGATGGAAGTCAAGACTTTATGGTATGTGGCTGATAGGTACTGTATTAAACCTCCTCCTCTGTTCAGAGATGTTTTTTCTAGTTTGACATAGATGTCTTCTCTCCCCCCTCTTTCGAACCATCTGTCTATCCTGGCCAAAATGTCATAGAGCGAGTTAGTAAGGACAACGACTCTGTTCCTCTACATGTGACATTTCATCAGTGTTAGTACATTTGTTCAAATATTGATTTTGTAATAGTTTGGGAAAAAGACTCCCAATATTGACTCAAGTATTTCAGTACTTCTGTTCCAGTATATTTCAGATGCAACCATTATGATTTTTGCTGTCCAACTCCGAGCTATTAAATCTGAATCAGCGTTTTCAGTTAAGTGTTTAGCATTCAGGGAGTTTGACTCTGGTTTCCAACCCATACTTTCTCGTTATATATAAAACATTTCACATAGAAAACAATGAAAGGTTATGAACTACAACATGTAGAGGCCCTGGGACACGCTGATGACCTTTCATCCAATGTTAGCTGGGATTGGCTCCGGCTGACCCTTACAAGATAAGTGTTATAAAAAATGGATGGATGAATGGAGTGAAGGACATAACTCTCTTTTTAACCTTCATTAAAAACAGTTGAATTAACTCTACCTTGTCGAACTATAACATGAAGATGCATAATAAAGTGCAACAATAATCCAGAAATATCAGATGACAATGCATCACTGAGAGGTGCCATTCTGCTATGAAATGAGTTTTTTCTAATCCTTGTGTTTACGTTTGATACTGAGTTATTGCTAATATTATTTCAGTACTTCTACCTTAGTAAGATTAGGAATGCAATACTTACTTGAAAGAGTTTTTTTATATTATGGTGTTGGTGTATTGTGGAGGGACAATGCACAGATTTTATGCACAAGTTCAGTCAGGAGAAGAACTACTTGTGACTCTGAAGGAGGCTTTCTGGGGTTGGAAAAAAACATGCTGCCTCAGACTGAGCTTGAGATATTTAATGGAAAGTTTTGGGGGTTTGGAAAGTTTTGCTGGTATTAAGAAGTTATCCATCTGTGGTAAATGTGGATTCCAGTGTCTTTGGAGCATGACTTGCAGTGGAGACCAAAAGTCAGGATATCTGAGTTTTCTGCATCTCTTTTGACTATCATTGTTGTTTTTATATGTCTCTTATCTTATAACCAGACTCATGGAAGTGAGATACTGTTGTGCACTGCTCCATGTGGCGTCAAAATAATGTTATTATTAATGACTTTGCCTCACACGGAGCACCAAAAATGTTATTATGTACTTTCCCTTGCGCAGGGTACGATTATGTACTTTCCTTCACGCGGGGCACCATTAAATGGTGTGCTTTTGGGCATTTAATAAATGTGGCTATCAGTGAAATATTAAATATTAATATTAAATAATAATTAAACTAATAAAAGATAAATCGGGGCACCACCCTTCAAAGGAKGGGAAAAGATAGCCAATTTATTGAATAAGTCTCYTGAAATTACTGACTACAAATTTGGAACTCTGATTAATAATTAAATAAATAACTATAACCAAAATTACCACATCAATAGCTAGCAAAGTTGAAGGATATGGAGTTCTTGACAGTGTAGAGGTTGGCAAAATTCACACTTATGCAACATTAACTAAGACGTGTTTTGAAGAAAAACATTTATTATGAGAATAATAAAAGTATAAACACAAAAACTAACAAAAGGTGTACTTACTATATACAGATGTGTATGTGTGTGTGTGTGTGTGTGTGTGTGTGTGTGTGTGAGTGAGTGACTGAGATTCAAAATGGCGGCTGGCCACTATGAAGACAAAAGGCCCCCTGGAGTGGTGAGACCATGWGGCTGAGATCACATGTAGGTGTTAAGTTTGTGGAGATGAGTGTGTGAGGTGTTGGTGCCAGGTTAAAGAAAGTAGTTAGATGCATGCAAAGAAGTGATCAGCATAACAGAACTAACATTAACTTTCAAAATAATATATAACCAAATATCACAACAACACAAGTCAAACTTATAAACATCACATGAAATAGAAATAGGATTAAACAGTCCTTTGTTTAGCCTAGCGTAATAATAAAGCCCAATTGTGTTACCCGTCCATGAAAAAGAAGGAAAGGTCCTTTTTGGATGTGCTGTTCGGAGTCCAGTGAAGTGGTCTTGTTGATTTGTGGATCCTGTTGTGGTTGCTGGTCAGACCTTGTGTCATGGCCAGTTGTGCTGAAGTTCTTAGGCAGGCTCTCGCGTCGCTGCCTTTGGAAGGTTTTTTAGCAGTCTGCTCCAGGCAGGCCTGTTGGAAGTTGAGGAGCTTGTGGAGGGAGGAAGTCTCCCTGGCTGGGAGAGCAGGGCCAGACCCTACTCCTCCAGGAGAGGTCAGCAGGGGAAGAGAAGAGAGCAGAAGCGAAGAGAGAAGAGCGGCGAGGAGAGGGGAAACTCAGTTTATATTGGCCTGGTGACCTCATGGGTCATGGGGCACACAGTGACCAATAGTGGTTGAGAGTTGTCTCCAGGAGCAGTTTTACCACCTATGTGTGAAGATGAAGCACCTGGGASACTGAGTTCTGGAAGCTCTCCTTTGTCTCCAGAGCAAAGGAGACACGCGGTCAGGCTTTTGACTACACATGTAGGCCCAACTATGGTTCACAGATACCAGGTCCCAACAATACCAAGTACATCTTTATAGTTATTAATAATTCTTTCATTCTGGCCTTCCTATGCCAATGATGATTAATAATTATTTTTAAAATGTGTTTGGATAGCTGTCCTATCAGTATCCGTGGTAAAAGGTTTTTTATTCACAATTTTCCCTTTTTGTGCCTCTGTGCCAGCAATAGCCATGCAGTTGCTCGAGGGATTATGTTTTTGGGGTTTGTCTGTCCGTTCGTCCATCTGTCTCTTTGTCTGTCTGTCCATGTGTTTGTCTATCCAATTCTTGCAAACACAATATCTCCAGAACACCTTGATGAAGTTTGTAATAATTTGGTACATACGTTCAGTTGGAATTTAGGAGGATCTGATCAGATAGGTGGTCAAAGGTCAACGATCAAGGGAGCATGACCTAAAAAACATGTTTTTGCACTTTTCAACATCATATCTCAGGTCTGCCTTTATGGAATATCTTCTGTTTGACCACTTGTCACTTAGACACTTGGGTTACACTTGGATTAGATGTCAGTGGTCAGAAGTCAAGGGGGCCTCATGTGAATCTGAAAAAAACCCTGAAAAATTGTATTGAGACTGAAATGGTAAATGATCTGTATTTATATAGCATTTTACAGGTCAGTATATCACCATTCACCCATTCACACCCACATTCAGTGCATCTACGGGCAGCACTTTTTTTATTAGGGACATTGCCCAGGGACACTTCAGCATGCAGATGACTGGGATCAAACAGCTGTCCCGGCCCGAAAGTGCACTGGTTGGTTAGAACTAATAGTTGTTGATAATTATATCAGAGAAGCCCTAGTCTGCTGCAAAACAGCTTCCACTGTGATCCCAGTCTTTCCGACGGTCCGTGAAGGCAGCGTCCCTCCCTCCAGTCTGGGCTCAGTGAGCGTGAACGCGTCTGTCAGAGCTGAGCTGAGGTCTGAGCTGCACACACACTTCACACAGGATGTAGCGACAGCACACACACACACGCACAGACACACCAGAGCCAGAAGAAGAAGAAGAAGAGGGTCAGAAACACTGTGAGCCTGCAGCCAGCGAGGAGACAGAGATGAGCGCTGCAGCAGAGGAGAAGAAGAAGAAGACAGCAGGAGTCCGGATGAGGCAGCTCACCGCCTGCAGGTCCTGACGGCTGCTCCCGCTGACCTGAGACATCCAGCGCGCGCACTCACACACACACACACACACGGAAAACCCAGCACAGCCGAAACACCCCCAACCTCGAGAGCGACAATGGCGAACCAGGGCGACTGCTGTGTGAAGGTAGCTGTGAGGTAAGTCTCCCTCCCTCCCGACCCGAGCGCATTGTCTCCGAGCCTCCTGGCGCGCAATGAAACGCACCCCTCACACCTACAAAGTCTCACAGACCAGACTCCCTCGTGTCCTCTGCACAGGAGAGGGTGCCACCTTGTTTTTGTGAGACATGGGCGGTGTTGATGGGGCAGAGCGTGCGACTGTGCCACGCTATCTCCACAAGTTCTGCACAGCTCCGTGGTGTGCAGCAGACAGGGTGATGGTGTAGTGACAAGGACAGCTGCAGCCAGGTGCAAGGTGGAGAATGGGCGTTTCTCTCCAAAGCCATTTCTTTTTCTGTTATTATTATTCTCACAGGCCTCTACCTGCAGGAATCTAGTGAACACCTCACATGAGCATTGCTGAGCTATGAAATCTGTTTAAAAAAACCTGCCTCTGCATAGGATTCGAGCACAAAGAGATGCTGTCCTCCACAACTCTGTCATCCTCTGCCTTTGTTGGAAATGCACCACAAAGCTCTGGCAGCTCAGGAGCAGCTTTATTTCTTATTTTTGGATTCGTGTGAGGGGATGTGAGTGGTCTGTAGCGATTGTGTGAGTCTAAATGCTGATTGAGAGGGAGCATTCAAATGTAAGTGCATGTGCTGGCACTTGCTGGGTGGCAGCCTATGCAATTGGAGGGCATGGCTCAGAGTGTGACCGGGGCTGCGTCTGTAATCATGCTCATTTTACAGGCGTGTAATTGAGCTGAGGCGGTGGTCTCACAGACCCCACCTCTGTTTTAACACACACACCTCCCAGACTCTGCCCCATCAGCTAATGAATCCCTATTGGCCACACTGTGTCCTTAATGACCTTTAAACTCCTCTCTTATTGTGCTAGATGTAAAGCAGCTGCAACAAAGTGAAATTCTTCACCCCGGATGCCTTCCAGGTCCTTCAGACTCCTCTTTGGGATCCATTCATCTGAGCTGGATGGGGGGGTTTGAGAGTGGGGGTCGGCCCCACCTTGCAAAACGATGACCCCAGGGGAGGTTTGAGAGTGACTTGTCAGTCAGCCGCTGAGAGGATCCCTTTTGTGCTTGTTCAAAGCGGCAACTGTAACAGGAAGTGGGGCAGGAGGTGCTGACAGAAAAAGGAGAGAGAGAGAGAGCTGGTGGCTGCTGCTCAAATGAAGTTATTGATTCAAGTTAAGAGAATAACTGGTTGACAGATATGACTGCACACAACTCATGTATGTCTCTGTGTGTGTGTGTTTTCACCTTCTAAACTTAAAGATCAGTTTTAGTAGCATGAACTTCACAGTGTTTGACTTTGTCTAATTACACACAGTAGCTGTGCTGGTCAACATGCTCTTTCTCTTCACGTGTGCGTATTTACATGCCCTGTAAGTGCCACCAAATGTGTCCGGTGTTTGACAGGAAATGGGAAGAACACAAATAAACACACGAGGAAGGATAACTTCCTGCTGCACGGCGACAGTTTTCCCCATGACCACTTTTCTTTCCCAGAGAAAGTCAGACGCTGATAAGAGAGGATGGTGTTTAATTGCTCTGATGTTGTGTTGCCCCCAGGCAGGCTGCATGAAGTGCACGTCTCTGAGTAGATTGTGTGCATGTGGGAACATGCATTTAGAGGGCAATGAGGTTGTCATGAGGGCCAACCAACACACACATACACAGTCGCCATGCAGCATCCATTTCCTGAGTGTCTGCATTGCGTTCCCCAAACAATGACCATATAACCAGTGACATGACCTACAATCCCGTATCCAGGCCTGACTGCCTTAGGAATAGATTGGACACACACACACACACACACACACACACACACACACACACACACACACACACACACTCAATAGTTCATTGCAGTCTAGTCAAACCAGACGTATGTAATGTGTCTCCCTGCAAAGTGGTTGTATATCATATCTTCTGGCTTGGCAGTTGTGTCATTATACAGCCACATTCATTGATCAGATTAGCTTGTATAGGATGAGTAGACCCCTACATTTCACCCGTTAGCCCTCGACACACACAATTACACTCTCAAGCTTCTTTTCCACTGGTGAAATTTTATTTTTATTTAACCTAACATGTCTGGACGCTGATGCAGCACTTTTTTTGTGCAACATTTTGACACGGGTTGAACTTGCGTGTGTTCGCTAAGAAATAGCTGAATGTTTGTGTACTCTTTTACATCTCGGTAACAACGTGCAACAGCTTCTTCTTTTCTTTGCGTCGTGCAGAATGCAACACTGGCCAGACAGCAGGGTTTGGGGAGCTTCTCAGCTTCCGGGCAAACTCCTAAAATTTTGACGGGTTTACTCACGTTGAAAAACTTGCATGTACCCACAAATTCTGGCGTAAAAGAAGTATCAGTTAGAGATGTAGTTTCACCTTGACGGTGCATCACCTCCCCCTCCCGTTGATCTATTTTTGAGTGCTGCATCTGCTAGAGATTGATTGCTTTACGTTAGTTCTGGCTCTTTGATATGATAAATGTCAATAATTCACCTTTTGTGTGCATGCTGGTACTCTGTGAACAACTTGACATGAGAGTTATGAGCATTTTGCATTTCCATCTGCATATTGATCTCTATCCCCTGCTCTCCAAAGCTCTGCCACGTACTCATTTCAGCCCATATGCAGCGAATGACTTGTCATGCACCAAAGTGCTAAGTCAGCCTCCAGTGCTGTGTATAAATAGACACAAAGACAAATCTGTTTAGTGCCTGTGTGCACTTTGACCTTGTGATCACAGGGGCTCCCCATCGCTGTCTAATTTGAGTTGTGTTGCCAGAACAATAACCTGAGGAATCACCAGTGAGGCGATTTTTTTTCTTCCAGTCCTGGCGTGTATCATGGATTTGTGGTTCAAGATAATGAGGTTGAATGGGGGGAAAAAGCTCTGCAGACAGAGCACAAAATATTCAGTGTTCTTTCAGAACCGCAGGTGGATGACCAGAGCCTTTTTTTACAGTTATGACGCAGGGCCTTTTAGCTTTAAGAGTCAGCTGAGAAACATAAGAGCTTTTATCTTTTTTGTCCTGCTGATGACTTGAACAATCTAAATCAGGGTTTTGCAGTAACACAGACGTTTCTAAGAAAAATATAAACTGTAAACTCCACCCCATGACCAAAACACTAGCTTCAAAACAGCAAGGGAGCAGGCGGACTAAAACAGCGGAAGGGGCCTCTCACAGCTGATACACAAAGGCTTTAAATGGGAGTTTTTAAAAAAAGCTGGTGTTTTGTTGTTGGACGTATGTCCTGTGTAGGCTACCAGTCTCGCCTGCTTCCTGTGTGTGTTAATAGTTTACCACACAGGCTCTGTCTGGGTTACACGCCTCCCTAGGGGGTTGCCTTTAAAATGGCAGGAGTTTGGGAGGAAACGGTGTGTGTCTCTTGCATGTGTGCAACTACAGCCTACAGTGTGTGTGTACTGGTCACAGGGTAGTGCTGGATTTTTATCTCCTCATGAGTTCTTACACTTAGTCTCAACATTCATCTGCTTGTTGAAGGGTTTACTGTCACCACTTCACCGTAAAAGTGAAAGCAGTTCTTCTGATCACAGCTTTTGGCATCAACAGAAGGAAGACGAACAGGAAACGTGACAATGCAAACGCCCAAGTTGGCCATGCAGAGCTGTGCATCATTTCCTCCTCACGCTGGCCCGTTGGTTATATGCCTTTAAAAAAAAAGTGTTTTGGTCGCCCTTTGACCCTATTAGACTGCACAGTTCTTTTTGTGACGATTGCTCAGCACTCTGTGTATGTGCCCCTGCGGCGAAGCAGGAGGCCGCGGACAGGGGACATGAAAGTTAGTGGTAACAACATGGAAGAACATTGATTTATAAAAAAAAGCATGAATCAGAACATTTCAACACAGGCGCATTAAGCGGTTTGTTCTTCACTTGTTCTCTGTTGCATAATCAGACGTCTCATGAGCTTTACCAGCAGCTGCCCGAGGAGGTAAAATAGGTTGTGTTGTTAGTTTGCCAAGATGCACTTCTTAATCCTGGTTTACAAACTTTGATAGTTTCTCAGATGGTTCATAAATATTCAGGACATTGTCTGCAGATGTTTTAAACTGCATTGTGCATCCAGCCAGTTGATGAACTTCTCCCTCTGAAGTGCATCAGCACTCCTGGATGGTGTGCTGCCGTTGCAGAATAACTTCCTGTCAAGTTGCTGCTGGACTATCCACATTTCCTGTTCACTTCCTTTTTAGTCATCTGCTCATGAGCCTGTTGACATGATTCTTGAAACTGAATACTCTGCAAAAGTGTGAAACTGAAACTGGGGCTTTATTTATTTGCCATCCAGAAAAACAAAAGAACACCCTGCTGTCCACCACTAAAAAATGGAAAATACTCATTGATCCAAGGTGCTATCTGCATTATCAGATCATGACACATCATCCCAACGTTTGCTGACTCTTTTTCTTTTCTTTTGCTAGAGCTCATCTGCATTGAGTAAAATAAAGCGTAAAAACTGTGACCAAAATGCTGGAATGTCACCAGCTCCCCCTCCACCCCCTGCTCGCCCAGTCTTGTATGCATGCACGTGCATACACACACACACACACACACACTGATCTGTATTTATTTTAATTCTTCCATGTGAATTCAGTAAGGAATGAAAGGCGCCTCAGTCTGAACATTTGCATATTTCAGTTATCTGTTATCAGACTTCATCATATGTCAGCTGCAGTGGCCTTCTCAACAGTCCCAACTATTATCATTTGTGCAGCACAGACACAAGACATCCCTCGCTACATAGAAATAAAGTCACTTATTTCCACATTATTTAGCAATAGATATATTTATGTTCTATCACTCTGTGGTCTGCCCATTTTCATAAATGTTATGACAGATTTTTTTTGTGTTGACTTTGTTGTGGACACATAGAAATCACAAGGGATCTGCGTGTGTGTGTGTGTGTGAGTGGTATGGGGGTAAGCAGAGGCCCTTTAAACAGTGCACCTCTTGGGTGAGTGTAGATAGAGGACACAGTGTGAA